GTTATCATAAGTTTCCCCCTTTTAGAAATGGATTTTGTAAGAAACCTAACATTTCTTATATGAGAATACCAGGGTGTGCCGCATACATCCCATTGCTCCACCACAGTATCTTAAGTTGATTCTCGTTGGAAATTGAGAATTTGTGTTGGGTATGAATCCCGAATGGGAAATTTGTTTGCGGAAATTATTGTTTTGATGGATTACTTTTCCAACATTAAGGGGGAGAGAAAAAAAAAACAGCTAGTAAAAAAGATGAGTTGGAATGAGTTATCATTATATCTAGTTTTGATCCTCAAATTAAGAAACATGAACATGAAGTTCATAAGATGAATTATCATTACCAACTATCAAATGCCTTTACTGGGCATACGAAGTGACCAAGTCACATATACTAGCTGTGAATGCTCCAACTAAATTTGATATCCTTGTTGGATACTCTAATATAAAAAAAAATGTGTATGAAAGAGCGCATGAAGCGTGATAAACCAATCGGTTCCAATTATAAACATCCTCGAGAAAGAAAATGAGTTGTAATTAGAATGGTCAACTCGAGGACATGAAAACTCAAGAAGAGTAACCAAGAATAAAATATAATTTTAGTTCCAGAAGAACACATGTCTCTGAAAGTTGTGAAAGCGAAGAGATCTCAAAACCATATTAGACTACAATACTGGAACCGTAATGAAATCATTGTCGATGAAATTTGTTTGTTGTACTTCAGTACTGAATATGATATGTACAATGTGAGGATCAAGAGTAAAACTCTATTGATGCATGCAAATGATGATGTTATTGGCCAATATAGAAAGAAATCATGAAACTTGCTTAAGGAGCTTAAAGTTTAAGGACCAGAAGTCCTTGCACCTAAAAAAGGGCAAAACTAGCGGGATACAAACAAATTTTTGTGCTATTGGAAAGTATGAAATTGTGAGAGATATCACATAATGTTTTGCAATGGGTTTCTCGAAGAGACCTATCATTGTTTAAGAGGAGTTATACTCCACTGTGGTGGATGCAACTACTTTTTCAAATCAATGTTTGAAAATTGTTGTGATGACCTATTTGTTTGAATTCCCTGAAGATGTTATATATATTTGAAACTCCCAGAAGGATTAGTTACTCCTAGAAAGATTAATTTACCTGAAGTAAATAAGTAAAGTTCTCGAGAACATATATCGATAGACTAAGAAAATCCCTTGTGTGGGTTGAGAAAATATAGACGAATGTGAAATACTCGTCTAAGTGAACACCTACAACAGTAGGGTGAATGGACCTTAAAAGGTTAAATCCGGATAGAGTCATTAGAGCATTTGCATTGTGCATATATAGTTGTGTTGTCTATATGTGTTTCAAGGATTTTAAATTCTTAATTTATGAGTTGTGATTTACTTTAAAGTATGAGTTGTGTTTTATGAGTGTGCTTTGTCTAGTTCATATGTTTCTATGATGTGTGTTTTGTTAATATCTTTCGTGATATGAAAGAATTGCTTGCTTCAATTTGTTTTAGTCAAGTTTTTTTGTGACAATCTCATATTATGTTGATGATATGTCTATTATTGGAGCTCCTTAAGAGCTTCCTAAAGCAGTTGATTGCTTAGAGACATAAGTTAAATTGAAGGATTTAAGATTCTTTTTATGGGAAAGGAAGGTAATGTTGAAAAAGTGGAAAAAAGTAATTTTGCATGAACAAATTATGTTCATCAAATAACATTAGGATCCTAAGATCACTAGAAGTGACCAAAGATCCATTTAGGCATTAAGAAAGAAGTGAGACATTAGGTCCTGAAGTACTTTATGTCGATGTACTAGGTCCTGAAGTACCATATGTTGATGCATCAAAGCACCAATTCACATTGCTAGCCAAACACCATATAAACTATCATTTTGGTGTTGATAATATTAGCAAAATACAATGTTTCCCTCAATGGAACGTTGGAAATACTTTGTTACCTTCACGAACAGTATATGCGATTGTTCTATTATGCTACTATCAAAGAGGGATTTGGTGAACTATATATCCAAATCCTATATATTATTTGATCCTCATATTGGTTGATCAGAGATGAGCTATCTCTTACATATGGCGATGTGATTGTTTCATAGATATCCACAACAAACTATAGTAGGCAAGTCCTGAATGTATTTCGTTACACTTTGTGATTCACCATATCTAAAGGACTTGTGGTTGTAAACTATTTCTAAAGGAAATGATCCTGACGATCATGTATAAAGAAAATCTAAAGATCATGCATAAGATTGACAATCTAGAAGATTGTTCACTAACTAACTCCCGACAACAATCTTTCTAAAAGTTGTTTGTGAAATTTGAGTTCAACGACTCAAAGATTTGAAATGATGTGGTCATGAGGGGGAGCATATACGCACTGCACTCTTTTTCCCTTCACCATGGTTTTTCCCACTGGGTTTTCCTGGTAAGGTTTTTAACGAGGCAGTATGAGATAGCGTAATGCAATCTAGTGGTCATCCAAGGGGGAGTATTATGTAAATATTGATATATGGATGACCATTGCCATTACCACATTAGATGCTCACTTGGGAGTTACATGTAACCCCCATTCCTATATTTGATAGCTCCTTTATGTTTCATTATCTCTCATTGATATAAAGATATAGTGGTTACCAAGGTGTGCCTATAAATAAAGCACACAATTGTATCAAAAGAGATAGAATGAATAAGAAGAACTATTTCCCTCTCTTCTCTTGTATCTTTCACTCTCTAATCTTCTCTTGTAGTTGTTTATATTTTCCATTAGTTTCATAACAGAAATGAATTTTTTTTGTTTATTCAACCATATAAAAATAAAATTGCTCCTTTTTTTTTGTATGATTCAATGAAACATTGTATCATTTTTTTCTAGTGTAATAATTATTGATAAATTTTATCCTAGTTTGGGATGTAAATTCAGTGTTATTAAAGCCGAACCGAGCCACTCGGCCCGAACGGTAAAACCGCCACCCGGTCACAAAACTGGCTCGGAACAGTCTAAAAGCCGATCCGGTTTTATGTAGCGGTTGACGAGCGGCCGAGGCGGTTAACCGCTAGAGCCGATCGAGCTGCTCGTCCGTTTTTTGTCATTCAGCCGTTAAATTTAATTAAAAAAAATTGCAGAATATTAAAAATTGAAATAAACCAAAAATGTCGGGCACTCAAACTGAATCCTTATTTCCATTTCACAATTTCAAAGGAAAGAGACGAGCTTTGATTTAAGAAATGTCCACTATTTATACCGATAACGTTTATTAGGTACCAATTCTCTAACGGGTTTTAAACGGTCTAATATCGGTTGGACTACTAAAGTACGAGCCGTTCGCATTACTGGGTCATGCTCCGGTTCGGTTCTGACAATATTGTGTAAATTAGTATTAATAAATGAAATCAAAACCAATTGGTGGAATCCAATCTAATTGGCACAATTGGATCAATTCTTTTTCGTTGAATGAATGGACAAATTTTCTATTTGTGTATTTTGCTAGTTTTTGATATTCCAACCCAATCGTTTTGACTCTAACGAGAATAATTCATACTAATTTTACCCATTTTAAATGTTATCTTTTTTTTCTTCTAAAAAAAAGATAACATTTAAAATGGTTAGATTCAAATCAGTGTTTTGGAAACTTTAACATATTGGATGGTTTAATAAAAAATATCTGGTATTGATTTCGTTAGGCCGATGTTGATCATCCAACTTAATGATCAATCCTCAAATTGGGTCAAATTAGTCTTTATGGGCAGTAGTCTATATAAGGATAACATTTCTGGAAAAATTGAGCAAATTAATAATCTAATATGAAGTTCGAGCTATTTTAAGATGTTAATTTAAGAAAGAATCCATTGGAACATGACACCAAATCTAACTACTAGGACTATAATTTTATTTGCTGAAAGGACAAAGAAAAAGAAAAGATACTATTTACTTTTAGTCTCAATTAGTTATTGGTCAATCAAACCATTATTTAGTAGTTCACTTGATAACATTTGTGTTGTTCAAATCAAATTGGAACTACCATCTTTCCAAACATATTTTTTATAATTGAAAAACAGAAAAAAAAATCACATAGAAAAATTATATATAAGTTTGTTTGGGCAGGTATCACCAAGAAAAATTATACAAATATATATTACTTTTAGGGTTCGTATGGACTGAATTTTGACCAAAATAAACATCCTGGCCAATCTTTTCGATCTATAACATCCTGGCCCGAACTATACATCAAAATAAACAATTTGGCCAAACCCAATGTTTAACCGTGAACTTGGATGGTCAACGCGCCACGTTACTACCAAGTCAGAAGATCTGATAAATATTTAATATTTTTGTTTTTTATTTTTGGTTTAACTAAGGTATTAGATGATTTTTTATAATTTATAATAATTTAAAATTAGGAAATGTGTGGAAATTGTGAATTATTTTAAATATTTTATGCTGACTTGGCAGTGACATGGCGCGTTGACTAACGATCAATGCGTTTGACCATCCAAGTTAACGGTCAAAGTCGAATCTGGCCAAATTATTTATTTTGGTGTATAGTTCGAGTCAGGATATTTTAAATCAAAAAAATTGGTCAAAATATTTATTTTGGTCAAACTTCAGGCCATACGAAAATATTAACCTTTACTTTTATTATACTAACGTTTGACAATGATTTCTTACCATTTTGAAAACCCCTTCCTCAAGTTGCGATCTTTTGCCCTAATAAAACATTTCCCTTTCGGCGAACTCAAATAAAAACCCAAGTCAAAATTCAAAAAGAAGAAACAAAAAAACTAAAAAAGTCCCCTCGGAAACCGCAGCCCTCTCCACTCCTCTGATCCATCCCCCGCTCTTAAATCTTCAATCTCAATCAGAAATTTTAAATTTGTCCTCTTTGCACCGGATCCAGAACACCCACGAAGAAGAAGATCTACTCAACCTTCATTTTCATGGCGGCAATCCGAGTCCCATGAAAAAGCTTTCAAGTTCCCTCCCCAAATCACCAACATGGCGAATACCCACAAAAGAGGCAAGTCCTTCCTCCTCCTCCTGCATCTCTCTCTGCTCTTCTTCCTCCTCTCTTCGCCGCTCGTAACCCACTCTAGCGAGGAAGAATCCGGAGCGGGACTCGAGCCCGAACCCGGAAATGAATCCACTCACCACCAGGAAGTAGTGTTGCAGAGAATGGAAGAATTAGTGAAAAGTTTAGGAGAAATAGTATCTAGGTTAGAGCCTTTGTTGTCCCAATCGCCTCCGCCGCAGGAATCGCCTCCAACGCCGCCGCTGCTTGCCGTGGTGAGCGGCGGATTGGAAGACCGCGACCAAGTGAAAGGGGGAGGTACTAGCGATGGTAAGTCTAGGGTTGGGGAGAAATTGAAATCAGTGTCAGTGACAAAGTACAGTCCACTCTGGTCAGAGAGGTTTCAATTCTTCTCGGCAGTGAAACTCGATTCGCAGGCGACTTGCGTCAACGTGTTGCCATTTCGAGGTTACGAAGGTGTCAGCAAGTACGTTGCAGTTGGGGACGATCGCGGTAAGGTTTATGTCTTCCTGAGGAATGGAGATGTTCTTGCCGAGTTCGACACTACGGTGGATTCCCCTGTAACCGCCATTGTCTCCTACCTTGCGATGTACAAGAACGAGAGCGTCCTAGTGACAGGGCACCACAATGGCGAGATCTCTCGTCACAAGATTGTGGAGAGAACCACAAATGGCGTGGATGATTACACGTCCTTGGAAACTGTCGCCGTCGGTGGTAAGTTTGAAGGGGATAGGGGTAATTTGGCCGTGACAGTTCTGGAAGTCCACCATGTCGGCAGATCGAGGTACATTCTGAGTTCGGATGGTGGTGGGACGATCAGGGTTTACAAAGAGGGCGGAAAGTTCCATGGATCAGTCAAGCCATCGAGCAGGCCACTTGCGTTCTTGAAACAGCGGCTGATGTTCTTGACGGAGACTGGGGCCGGTTCGTTGGACTTGAGAAGCATGAAGATCAGGGAATCAGAATGTGAAGGGTTGAACCATTCCTTAGTAAGAAACTACGTGTTCGATGTGACCGAACGGTCCAAGGCCTATGGTTTTACTTCCGGTGGGGATTTGATTCACGTTTTGTTGTTGGGGGATGTCTCTAATTTCAAATGCAGGGTGAGGTCCAAGAGGAAGATGGACATTGATGAAGATGAAACCCTAGCTATGAATGCCATCAAGGGCTACCTTCTAATCGTCAGCCAACACAATGTGTATGTCTACAATGTCTCCTCTCATCACTATGTCAGAATGGTGGGTCCACGATTGATCTTCTCGGCTGGTTTGGACGAGATCAAATCATCATTTCTCAGCCATCAAACCGGGGTCGAGTCGAGTGGAGTGCCATTGATCGCCAGTGACAGAGAGAAGCTAGTGGTGGTCGGGCTAGGAGATGGTTACGTGGGGATGTACCGTTCGAGCCTACCAGTTTTCAAGGGCGAGTTCAACACTATGACTTGGATGAGTCCTGTCTTGATATTCATACTCTTTCTATTTGGGGCATGGCAGTTCTTCGCGAAGAAGAAGGAAGCTTTGACGTCGTGGGGGCCTGATGATCCATTCGTGGGGACTACCAACGCCACATCATCATCATCTGCAGGGAACTCAGCTCCGGCATTGGAGACCTCTTCGAGGAACAGCGGTGGGATCATGGACTTGAGGACTGGTGCAGGTGAAGGGATGAGAGGGGCGACGAGGAGGTATGCTTCACCGCCGAGGTATTCTGGTGGCGCAGGGACGACGAGTGGTTCGTTTAGGCCAAGTGCTGTCGATGCTGGTAACGCTTCTAGGCCGAGTTCAGTTGAACCTTCAGGTTATAGAAGTTCGCCGTCGGAGCTGAAATATCGAGCCTCGCATATGGAGCCACCTGGGTTTCCCAAGAGGCGGGAGAACTTGTTTGCGAACAACCAGGTCGTGGATGATGGGAACTGAATATGGGATTCGTTTGCAGTTCTTTCCTTCTTTGGTTTCTTTTCTTATGGCCTTCTGTTTTTGGGTTACCACAGTGTTGTAATGTTTACAGCTGCTGCTATGTAATGACTTCTATAAGTGCTGACTAATAAAAATGGATTTACAGCGAATTGTGCTCCACTAGATTGGACTGGGCTGGTATTGATTGATCTTTAGTTCTGGGTTTGAAGTAAAACCTTCATTACACAAGCCCAGCCCAGGTTTTCATTTTTATAAATTATGGAACATCTTTTTTGGTAAGTGAAGAAAACTTCGGCAAATCTTTTAGTAAGATACCTAGTACGTCTTAGCTGTTGTAAAAAAAAAAAGTACGTCTTAGCTCGTATTAACAATAGAATGGTGTGTGGGGCAATAATCATAATATCCTAGGAGATTCAGTGTCTTGGTTATAGATTGCTCACATTGATCCGATGTGTGTCAAAATCAACCTAATGATCCTTGCTTGTCAAGAAGTCACCATGATAGTTACATTCTCTTACGACGTGCGTAAAAAAAACTTTGCTATCGAAACTAATCAAGCGATCATTTTTTCATGCGCCAATATGCCATGCGAGTGATCATCATTCTTCCAGTTCTTGATAATGCTAACAGCATTCGTCGAATTCACAAAATTATACATCATCAAATTTTGAATGACAATAAGTGACGACTTTATCTAAACAATATCAATCTTGTCGTGTGGTCGAAGCCTCGAAGGGTAGTACTTACACCTTGTCAAACTCGCCGATAATGGGACAATTGTGGTTGTGTGATGAACATAAATACATTATAATCAATATTGTTTTTTGTATTTTATCTAAAATGTATCTGTTAGGCTGACTCCAATGGAGTCGCCATTTATGCCCAAATCGCTATTAATGGCGATAATCGCCATTTGGGTCTCCATTTTTGGCGTAGGGAATGCCGATCCCTACATTTTTGGCGATTGAGAGAGGTGTTGGCGGGCACAACCGCCCGCCACCATCTTTTTTATTTTTATTTTTATTTTTGGTTTAATTAAAGGTTAAGAGTTTAATTAGTGCTTTAATGATGAAAAATTAGGGAATCACCTTTAGGTTTATCATTTTCAAGTATTGTGCATAAAGAAAAATTAGGTCAATTATTTTTTATAAAAAACAATTCGGTTTCGAAATTAAAAAAAATTCTATAGAAAAATTTGTATTTTAAAATGATGACGAACTATATCAAAATTAACATGAATAAATATGATTAACATAATCATAAGTACATTCTTAAGTAAAGAACTACTACAAAAAATGAAAATCTCTCAAATTTGGAGATGATAGCATTGGAGCAAAAATGATGAAAATGGGGAGAATCTCCAAATTTAGGGATGAAGATCCCCAAATTTGGGGGCTAGCATTGGACTTGGCCTTAGATAATGTTTCTAAGCAAAAAAAATGTAGTATGATGATTGTACGTATAGTGTTTAGCAGGATAGTCAAATACGTAAAACAGTAAACACATAATCACTATTTGTTTATGGAAGTAAACCGAATTGAATATTGAATTGACTAAACTGGTTGGCACAATAAATTCGACCATTTTTTGGAAATGGATAAAACAGGAAAACGGATAATCTCCATTCGTGGAAAATGGCCCAAATTGTGTGACTTTTATTATGGTTCAACTATACAAGAAATGGTCGTTTAGGGGGATAAATGAAGCCAAATTTAAATTTATTTATAATTGAGGAGACTAATAAAATATATTCCTTGTGAAAAGCTCATTCATTACTGTTGAAGCCCGGATACTCCCTCTTCCACGTGTCACTTCCCGCTGCCCCACGCCGAGCGCTTGGACCCTGCAGGACGGGCGCCTAGAGGGCTACCCCCGTCCGTTAGCACTCCAACGATCAAGTCAGGTGCAACTCTAGAGAGAGAAGTGAAGAAAGAAGTTTAGTGTGAGAAAGACCAACCTGCTTAAATGCTACCTACCAAGTGCTATTTATACTACTTGAGCTTCTCGACCAAGCTCCGACCAACTCCTGCCACCAAGGCTTATGTCAGCCTAGCATTAAATGCTTGGTCTCCCCTGGCGCCTACGCGCCTACACGTGGCATACCGCCCATTTTCCACGTCGGGGCGCATAGGGGGACCACCTGCTTCGTGGCGCCCTCCTGAGCTTGTCCACCTGTACTCCCTTGTCTGCGAGCCTATTTTGTCGCCATGCGCCCCTGCTCCTTTGTAACCACTTGGATCATACTCTTATGGACCATAGATAGGCTTCGGGCCCAACAGACTCTTAACTTTTATGAGCACCTTTCCCCTATCTCAATAAGACCCATTAGGCTTTTAACTATCATGGGCTCCTCTCTACTACCCCAACAATTACTTTGCAAATACTTTGCCCAAAGTACCGAATCTGAGGGAGATCCTTGGAATGCTGCTAAATTGTGAGTGAGGGAGTGCCCACTGCCCACTCTCTCATGTTTTTCAGGACAAAATCGTTTTGGATTCCTCAAAAGGGAAATAAAAAGGTACGCGTAGTGCTATAAATAATGTGACAAAATTGATTAGTGGGACAAATTAAGGATTTAAGGGTCTAAACATTCAAACTTAGCAAAAATAAAAGGGTGGTTATATTTTAGTGGGCAATCCACAATCCCTTTAACTTATTGTACTTAGGGGTTTCTTTCTATGTATATTTTATCAAAGTTGTTCGATGATATGCGGATTGATATAGTATGCTAATAGTTATTGAAAAGTTCTAACTTTTTCCACGATATTTACAAATTTGAACAAACATGTTTTTCTCATCGTTGTTCCCCTATCTTTTTTAGTAGAATAAATCAATGATGTATTCCTATTGTCCAATGTGGGAAATTGAATGTATAAATTTTTTTTTACAGTGTTGTCGTTTTCTCGACCACAATTGATAATTAATAGAAAATCGATCAATATAGATTACACTATACTTACAAAAAAAAAATCAGTCATAATACTTGTAAATTATCATTAATCGTACTCTCTTATTGATAAGGAAAAAATAGTGTCTTGATTCATATTGCTCCTTGTAATCCCAACAATTTAATTTATGACATTACTGTAAGTTTAGACATATAAAAGTATTCTCCTCATCGTATCCTCAATGCAAATATCAAACCCACTAAATAAACACAATGAAATCAACTATTCAAAATCAAAATCCATAAAAAAAACCATCTATCTGATTTCCTTCCGTCCGAATTCCGTGATAATAATTATAATTTCCAAGATAACATTAATGACCAGAACTAGCTTAATTTGTATACTTAAAACAAGTAGAGTGACCAAAGTAAAATATAACAAAAAGTTTAGGTACCTATTAGTTATTACGAACAAATTAAAGATTTTTTTTTAGGGTTAATTGCATGGTTGGTCACTGAGATTACAAAAAACATTCATGTTTGGTCACTGAAAATATTTAAATCCAGTCTTGGTCACTCAAATTAGTTAAATGATTCAAGTTTGGTCACTCTCCGTCTATTTCCGTTAACTCCAGCTTACGTGGCAGTCAACTTTCATAGTTGACCGTTAAATACGTGACGTGGCAATTAAAAAATTATTAAAAATAAAAAAATAAACTTTTATATTTTCCACCTCATTATTACCTTCATTAAAAAATAAAAAAATAAAAACCTATAATTGCTCCCAGCTACCGCGTACAACTTCCCGATCCCGCCGTGGTCCCTCAGCTCCGCCGCTATAATTGCTCCCACAAGCACCTGCGAGACGAACATCAGCACCCCGCCGAACAAGAACAGAGGCCTCCTCCCGACTCTATCGACGATCACCATCGACAGGAACGCCGTCCCGATCCCGACGGCGCCGGTGAGGATGGCCGACATCAGAGAAGCCCTCTCTCCCATTCCGATTGTTCGGAAGAGCAGGGGAGCGTAGAAGGCAATGACATTGAAGGGCAGATGAAGGAATAATAGATTGGCTCTATGTGGAGTCTTTCAAAATGGTAACTCTCTTCTGATTGACTTCCATGGTCATAACTCCCATCCCAACTATCAGCCATAATCACATCTACTAAATGCTCTCTGATCAATAATTCTTTAACCTAAATCTACTATAAATAGGCAGGATAACTAACCACAATTTGCCTAATTAAGGAAAAGTAAGAGATTCAGAAATTGGGTTCCCCTTGAATCGTGAAATGGTATCAAAGCAGCCTAAAAGCAACAGACTTTCTCCAACCAGCAGTTACCAATTCTTATCAGAAGTGGAAAGAAAGAACGAAGTAAACAAGGAAACCCATACCGCCAAAATCAATCGGAGAGTGGAGAAAACCCTAACTCTGCCAACAAAGGCTGTCCACGAAGAACAAAAGAGCGGAGATGAGTTGGAATTTCCATGGACAAAGATTCGGCTGCGAAGAGATACGATTGGGTAAGAGAGAAATAGCGGAATTGGGTTGAAACAAATGGGAGCCGCCGGCGGAAGGGATTCGAGCGGAACGATTTTCTTTCTTTCTGCAGCTGGTGATTTTTTGTTTTTATTTTTGTTGGGTCTCGTCGAAATTGGAAGAAGAAGAAGAAGATAAACGACAAAAGGAACCCAACAAAGAGTAAATGGTTCAGAGTTTCTCCGTACACCCCTTTGTTGTATTTGGACAACGACGAAGAAGGTTGACTCCTAATATGGCTAGTAAATCACCGTCCCGTTCTTCCAGCGTCGGAATCAACGTCATCGCCTTCTACGCTCCCCTGCTCTTCCGAACAATCGGAATGGGAGAGAGGGCTTCTCTGATGTCGGCCATCCTCACCGGCGCCGTCGGGATCGGGACGGCGTTCCTGTCGATGGTGATCGTCGATAGAGTCGGGAGGAGGCCTCTGTTCTTGTTCGGCGGGGTGCTGATGTTCGTCTCGCAGGTGCTTGTGGGAGCAATTATAGCGGCGGAGCTGGGGGACCACGGCGGGATCGGGAAGGTGTACGCGGTAGCTGGGAGCAATTATAGGTTTTTTATTTTTTTATTTTTTAATGAAGGTAATAATGAGGTGGAAAATATAAAAGTTTATTTTTTTATTTTTAATAATTTTTTAATTGCCACGTCACGTATTTAACGGTCAACTATGAAAGTTGACTGCCACGTAAGCTGGAGTTAACGGAAATAGACGGAGAGTGACCAAACTTGAATCATTTAACTAATTTGAGTGACCAAGACTGGATTTAAATATTTTCAGTGACCAAACATGAACTTTTTTTGTAATCTCAGTGACCAACCATGTAATTAACCCTTTTTTTTTATGACGTAATTTTCTTTTGGGAGAAAGATAATTAATAAGTGTCAGGAATCAGGATCGTTTTACAGAACTCCACACGCAGCTCGAAATCTGCTGACGACGGCCTTTTTCCATTGCTCATTTTGAATGGAACAACTAACCACCACAGATGACTCATCCTCCTCTTCCCGTCGTGGCCGCCTCCTCCCTCTGCCGCCATCGTCAAAGCCGCCGGAACCTTAACGCGGCTCCCGATTCCTTCAGATTCTCGCCTAATTACTTTCAAATTTCCGTTCACATCAATCCTCCCGAAAGCCTCTCTCCTCCGCCTCCGTCGCCGCTGCCGCGGCTTCACTTCTCGCCGTCGTCCGATTCCGGGAGGGCTGTGGAGTGAAACCGCGGGGTTTCTAATCTCATCGGCCGAGTTTTGTTTTTCTTTTTTTTCCTTACCGAGAGCTATGAATGAACGTAGCTCGAGTCAAAGAGGCAGCAGCAGTGAAGCTCTGTCGTCGTCAGAGGCGGCGGCGGGGGGAATTCCGTCCGGTTTGAATCGGATTAAGACTCGGCGAGTCTCGTCCAGGGAGAAACTCAGTTCCAAACACGACGATGCGTTCGAGTACAAGTCTCGTGAACCTCCGCGACCGCCGCCTCCGTTCCGCGGGAAACTCAAGCAGCAGAAGTCGCTGGCTCGCGTACAGGGAGCCGGCAGCAGCCCTTCCTCGAGAGCAGGTGTTTTTTGTTATCTCCCTTTTTCAGTTCATTTCTTCGGTTCGTTCTGCTTGCAGCCAGATTTCCCCGTTTTGTTGGTAGCGTTTTTTTTTTGGGTTTCTGGAATGCCTGCTGTTTTCTTTGGGGCATGAGTTAGCAGCTTAGTTCCAATGGTGTAATCTATGTAACGGTTTGGGAATTAACGCAACCAAACGCTCGCAATTGAAATGGAGAATTCAGCTTTGGCAGTACGTAAATCTTGGCGGATTTCTGCAAGATTTTTTTCGTCTGAATGCTGGTGCGTAATGAGGTTAATGTGACAAATTGCATGAGCTGTTCCAGATAGTTCATGTTTTTGTTCCTGTGAACCATGGTCTCACTCACAGGGAAAGGTATAGTTCTAATTTAAATGAAGTCTGAAAGAAATACCAATTAGGTTCTTCTTTTCTGATAGAAGTCTGCTATGTTTGCTTGCAGAACTTAGTTGTAGACCTGAACTAGGAGGGGAACTTGGGTTGGGATTTGATTTTTTTCTCCATCCATTCGCTTAGAACATTGGTTCTATTGGTTAATTGGGAAGGAGAATGATAGCGAGATACTATGAATTCTCAATTTGGCATTTGGTTCTTCCTTCATCCTTTACAAGTTGATGTGGTGTTGGACTTGTGTTAGGGCTTTTGCAAGCTTGTAATGTCTTTTTCCCTTTAGATGATCTTGTACTTTTAGAATATGCCATTCTGCTGAGGGTTAGACATATTGTACGCGAACTAAATTATGTGACATGAGTGACTTGGCAAATGGTGATCTTGCAACGCGGTATTCACAAATCTTACTTCAATTGAGGCGCAATTGAAGATGAAATGGGGCATCGGTTTCTCAGTTTATATGTTGCTAGAGCAAACTGCTTCGTTCTCCTCGATGGAGACTGTTTCAGCATTGTGTGGTTTCCTTCCTTAGCTATTACTTAGGAGTCATTTGATATTGTTCATTAACAAAGTTATGATGGAGGTTGAAAATATTATGACGGCTTTCCTGTTAGTTGAGTAAAAGTAAGGTTTGAGCATTGAACATCCTTTTGATTGTCTTTCGACTTTTAATTGCTGTCTTGCTTGTGAAAGAGGAAAACAGCTCTTCAATTTTATTGCTTTTCTGGTGTTATTTCTGGTAATCATCTGAATAATTATCCGATGCTGCACTTCTGAAGGTGAACAACACAAAGGAAAGAAAATCGCCCGATGGTTCTCATCATATTTTTCAAGGGATGCTGGTCATCTTATTGGCTCGCCTATGGTAACTTTCTGTTCAACATTTCCTTACCGGCTTCTTATGTTACACTTGATGGAAGCTGGAAGGTACTAAATAGTCGCTTGGCTGATAGGAGAGTGGCACTGAAGCTGGAATTCTTGAGAAAGAGGAACCAATGGCAACCAGATTCTCAAATGCAGGAAATCATCAAAGTCAGGAACAATATTCTACTGAGAGTCAAATTCAAACTCGTAGTAAGGGGACAAAAGTCTTAAAAAGCTTTTCACATGAACTAGGATTACAGAATGGTGTTACAGCACCCCCTCCTCGGGCTCAGAGTTTTACCGATTTGAAGGTATCTCTTAAAATTCGACTCCGTGAAAAGCTTGTCTACATCTTCCAATTTTCTGTAGGAGTTAATTTTAAACAGTGTTTCATCGTTTAAAAATCTCATATAGAATCCCTTCAAATTTTATAGAAGTAATGAACATGAGAATAAAAATACACATGGAAATCACAGCCACTTTGCTATTGACTTCTCTTTTCTTAACTTTTTCTTTGTTGATATCAGGAGCTACTGGGATCTTTCCACTCAAGATTTGATGCAGCCGAAGAATTGGCTAAAGTAGAACTAGCTACTTTTGCCGCAGATGTCATGGATATCCTTGATAACATTGACCCCTCATTGGAAGAAGAGTTTAACATGGCACAAGATCTTCTTAGTCTTGCTCAACTGTGCATGGAAATGACTAGTTCTCAGTTCCGTGCCAAGTGTGAAGAAGTTGTTCAGGATCTAACTGATAAGAGAAAGAATTGTCAAACAGGACTTCTCAAGTGGCTATTTACACGCATACTCTTTATCATGACCCGGTGCACTAGAGTACTGCAGTTTCAGAAAGACAGCGAACCAATTGATGAAATTACATTCAATAAGTTGAAGAAGTGTCTAGAAAGCATTCCATCTGTGGAATTGAGCTGGCCAGCTAATTATGGGATTGCTGATTCTGGTTCAGTTGCCGCTCCTCTGAGTAAGAAGGGTAAAATAAAACCAAAACTGGAGGGACAAGATAATTTGTCTTCTCTACCTGAGGCAATATACTATGGCTCTGAACAGAATGATGCAACTTTAAGAAAGGTTTCCTTGGAACTTGAACAAAGGTTGACTTCACAGGAACCAAAAGCTGATCCTCTTTCAAAAGTGCAGCCGTCAAGTCAAGGTGGTAATGATTCCAGTTGTCTACTACTGGAGCAGGGACATAATTTTGACGTATTGGTTCGTAGCCAAGAAGAGCATGGTGTAGATGGAGCCGATACAGTAATCTGCAGGATATGTGAAGAACTTGTTCCAATTTATCATTTGGAATGCCACTCTTACATATGTGCTTATGCAGACAAGTGTGATGTAAATTGCCTAGATTTGGATGAACGCCTATCAAATCTAGCGGAGGTACTTGAGCAGATTGTTGATTCACGAAATATGAACTCTCACCTTTCATATGGTAGTCCTTCAAGCAACTCTGTCACAACTGAAGGTTGCTCTCCGAAGGTTAGTGAATGGAGAAACAAAGGTGTGGAAGGAATGTTTGAAGACATACATGAGATGGATACTGCCAGCATTGATGAGCCCAATTTATCATTATTTAACTTAAAGACCCATTTGGGAATAAAACTAGGCAACCATGGAACACCATCTTCAACTGGCAGTGTAGCATCAGTTTCCTCCACAAATTCCCCTATGGCTGGTCACTTTGATTCCTTCTGGTTAGAACATAATAATCCATCTGAGCTAGAGGATGTTCAACAGGTATTTTCAGTAGTTTTCTTATTTGTTGAATGACCAGCACTTGTTAGTTTTTCTTTTTGGCATTTACCTACATTATACGCTGGTAAGTTTCCATTTGTTTACATATTTCTTTTCTTCCTTAGTGCAGATGGCTGATCTTGCAGACATAGCTCGCTGTGTTGCTAGTACAGATGTAACAAAGGATCCTTCCTGTGAATTTCTACTAGCCTGTTTGCAAGATTTGCAGAATGTTTTACAGCGTAGTAAACTCAAAGCTCTCGTAATAGACACTTTCGGCGCCAGAATAGAGAAGCTTCTAAGGTAAGTTTTGGTTATGGATCATATTTCCTGTTTTATTATTTCCTTTTTTCCCTTTTCTTATGGGAGTATTGATGCTGCCTTTTGTATCTATGCAGGGAAAAGTGTTTAGTTGCCTGTGACCTGTTGGATACAAAAATTCCCGGCGATGCCAAACTTAAAGAAAATTCTAGATTTCTGTTGGATAATACGCCACAAAGTAGTACAGGATCAACTCCTCTACATTCCTCACATAGAGATAGAACAAGCATTGATGATTTTGATATTATAAAACCAATAAGCAGAGGTGCCTTTGGGAAAGTATTTCTTGCACGCAAAAGAACAACAGGAGACTTGTTTGCAATTAAGGTAGGCTAACTGAAACTTCTGTCTCTCAGTAAACCAAACTGTAGCAATCGGGAACTTGATTGTTTATTTTGATATACCTTCTTCTCTTGGGGAAGTAATCAAGCATGAGGCTGCTATGAGTTGTTTTCTTAAGTTGTTCTTTTGTAAAGGATTTTCGCCTGCTAAATAATTGTTAACTATCAAAGTGCACTACATTTGAACATGTGCAGGTGCTCCAGAAAGTGGATATGTGGCGTAAAAATGATGTTGAGCGTATATTAGCCGAGCGTAACATACTTATAGCTGTTAGAAATCCATTTGTGGTAAGTTTTCATTTTGCAGAATGTGAACTAATGACATCGTAAATTCACTATTTTTCTTGTTGTGTGGTGTGTATATATCACTGAACTGGATTTATGTTGCTTATTTTGCAGGTGAGGTTTTTCTATTCTTTCACCTGCAGAGATAATCTCTACTTGGTTATGGAATATCTCAATGGAGGCGATCTATATTCTCTTCTGAGGAAAGTTGGCTGTCTCGAGGAAGATGTAGCTCGTGCATACATTGCGGAACTGGTCCGTGGCAATTAAACGTTGTAGAGTTACCCATGTTTTAAAGGTTTTTATTTGAATATTTACTTGATTGGATTTTGTCTGCTCACAGGTTCTTGCTTTAGAGTATCTCCACTCCCTTGGCATTGTGCATCGTGATCTAAAGCCAGACAACATATTAATTGCACATGATGGCCACATCAAGGTCAGGAATTTACTATCCATAATTAGGCATGGCATGCACAATAAAATGGTTACAGTATGGTTTGATTTTTCATATGTTTATGGTTGCTTATTTCACCAGCTTACAGACTTTGGGCTATCAAAGATTGGCCTTTTGAACAATACCATTCAGTTGACAGAACCCGGGACATCTGGAGGCATTTTGTCAGATCCTCTCGATTCCCGCGAGCAGCAAACAGAAGACAAAAGGCAACATTCTGCTGTTGGAACACCCGACTATCTGGCCCCTGAAATCCTTCTTGGAACGGAGCATGGTTTGTCTGCCATCTGAATTTCTTTTCTGCTGAGCCTTCAATCGGTGGTTGAACTTATGGCTTTATTTGCCTTTAATTTAACAGGTTATGCTTCAGATTGGTGGTCAGTAGGAATAATCCTCTTTGAGCTTATTACTGGAATTCCACCTTTCACTGCCGACCAACCTGAGGTACATGCATAAGTATTTCACTTCACATTCCCCCCCTTACACTGTAATAAACATCACCATTCATCACTAGGGAATTTGTATTTCAATTTCTTTCAAAATGCTGTGTTTTCCAGATGATATTTGACAACATACTCAACAGAAAAATTCCTTGGCCTTCTGTTCCTGGCGACATGTCTCATGATGCCCAAGACTTTATCAACAGGTTTGGCTCGTTTCCTTGGATTTGATAATTTACTGGTATTTGTGTCACTTACTCATCAAACATCTAAATCTCCTTCCTGACTAATTTTTTCCATCCATTAGCATCAGTTTACTGTGGAATCATTGAACCCTAATCCTTTGGACTTGTAGGTTGCTTATTCATAACCCAGATCAACGTTTAGGAGCAAACGGTCCATCCGAGGTTGTATTCTGTATTCACTGCCCAGACTTCAATTTTTCTTTTTATGTTTTTCTTTCGCCGAATCATGGTCCAAAGGATTTTGCTTTTTGCTTTGATAGAAACACTTGCAGCTACTCTGAAATATTACTTTTCCGTACAAACTACTATTGACATCAAGTCTCCTTGGGCTCATTTTTGTAGGTTAAATCACATCCATTCTTCAGAGGAGTTGACTGGAACAACCTCGCGTTGCAAAATGTAAGATTCCACAGTCATTCATTTGGTTTTTATACTGGCGAAATGTAGAATGTATCTTTTATATTCCAAGTTCCAATTTCTATCTTGCCCAACCTTCTGTTGCAGGCAGCCTTTGTACCCGTCCCTGACAGTGCAGATGATACAAGTTACTTCCTTTCTCGGTTCTCTCAACTCTCCAGCGGAATACTGAATGATAATCCCAATAGTAGCCTCTCTGATGACGACTCTTGCAACTCATCCTCAAACTCCAAAGTTGAGGTTTGCCAACTTTTCTCCACCCGTTCTTTTTGACCGTTAGTCAGCTTAGCATGGTACCTTTAACTTTCGGACTCCTTGTTTCAGATGGATGACTGTGGAGACATGGCTGAATTCGACTCTTTGCCAATCGACCTCTCCTCGATAAACTTTTCCTTCAAGGTTCGAAGTCACTTGCCCTCTTGCTATTATCTGTCTTGCCGCCCTATTCAAATTATTCGTGACAAAGATTGACGTCTGACATGTGTTTCTTTTCCAAGCAGAACCTGTCGCAGTTAGCTAGCATTAACCGCGATGTGCTGTTGCAGACCGGAAGGGATTCGTCGAAGAACTCTCCGTCCAAAGCTCCATCGTAGTCTTTTTTTCAATCATTCGTCAATCATACTCAGGCAGTTGCTATGTCTAGCCACAGCCACTCAGATAGGCTAGTAAGGAGTAGGAAGAATACTACACCCGGTAGCACCTTCGGTTCTGTAAATAAGCATAGAAAGGGTCCTTTTCTTTTGTAGGATAGGGGCGTCGGTTTAAGGTTAGAGAAGATCGCTCAAATCATTCTTTCTAGCGGTAGGATTATAGAAATGGGGAACTGAGATAGTGATTCTGCTCATGAAGATCGAGCGGAGCCCGGATAAACTGGAAGTCCCTTTACCTTGGGCAGGAAGCAACCTAGGTAATTTAATTTCCATTTCTCTTACGCAGACTAAACACGGTCCGATTCCCTCCATGTTCTAACTGTTTGTTCTCTCTGTGACTACAATCGAGCTAGGGACTGACAAAAGCAGCATTGACGGGGTCCTTCATTCATCTGCCGCGCTTTGGATACGGGAATTTCGCCAAGTTACTTGGGTTACACTATTATACTGGATTTGATTTTTTTCCGCCCTACAATTTTCTTCCAAAAGCCAGACTATAAAAGAAATTCCAATCAAACGGTTGAAAGGTGATGGTGATAATGGCTTTTTACGATGTATCGAGGCAAATAACATGATTACAAGAATGAAAATGACGAAAAAAAGAGAATGAACAAATAAAATTCTCCACTAAAATGAAAGAGTTTCGCGAGTAGGATACCAAACGCCACAAAACTTCACAAAATAGTGGCACTCGTAAATGGTTCTCTAATTTGTGTGTACAAAATGGTTGCTCGAAGGCTGATTCATTACATGCTCTTAAAGAGCAGCTTAAGACAACTCGACTTTAAAGAAGAATCAGACTGGAATTGCTAAGCCCTTCTTCGCCATGCTATCAAGGACATCGTTCAGTGCTTGGCACAATCCAACAATCTGCAAAATAGATGAGCAGTCATAATCTGGCGAGTAAAATTTTTAGGAATTGAGCAAAATGCACGAAGGGTCACCTGTTGATCCCACTGTTGCAGCTCTTCAGTGTCGTCCTCAAAATGTATGACGGCTTCCACCTAGTGTACAGATTTCATGGTAAAGGGACATAAACATTAAGCACGAAACAAGTAGAATTATGAGCACAACTGGAGAAGTCAAGGACAAGCATTCACACCTGGTCTATTGATCCCCTCATTCTGTCTTCGAAAATCATCCTTGATGCGATCTTTTCAGCCTGACAGATAATATAGATATAGTGAAATGTTTAGGCTTCAGTTATAATGGAAACTGATGTGTGCTAGTACACCCCAAAGAAGAGAAACAGCTTAATTACAAGAGATTATAGGAGAGGCATACCTTGTGCGGAGGGATACCCAACAAGGTGCCCAACTCCTCAAAACTGTGATGAAAATACATTAGAAGACAACAAAGATTGAGTGTCATTGAGTAGAACCCCAAACTCGTATACAGATATAATCCAAAATTCTACTAAATCCCAACCTTATATTTGTGTACAGCTTGCTTGCACTTAGAAGATTGTGCTCGATCATCGCACGATCAAGGACAGTGAAGTTGTCTGGCAGCAGTGCTTTCTGTTGAGGCGCAACCAAATGCCACAACATAAGAACACAGCTTATGAATGCATGACCAGCAAAGCTGAAAAGTTGAACATCACTAACCTGATGCGGCTTTAGTTCTTGAGAAAATGCATCAATTTCAGGTTTCCTCAGGATCCTTTCCAAGTACACCTGAAGGTACAACTAGGGCTTGTTAATAGCAGGTTCAAGGCAATGTTAGCAAGTGGTTCAGTGGAAAGATTTCGAGAAGAGAAACAGGAAACTGAATCAGTAAACAGAGGTAAACACCAGTGCCAGGGAGAGATAGGACCTTTTGTAGTATAGGATAAATTTTGAGTTTTGAGCATCTCTCGTCCTGGTACATTCCAACAGGGCATCACCATCAATACATTTTAGTATTTTACAATAATTTAACTTTTATGATTAGCAGTACTTCTCACATGTTCATTTTCTCTCAGAAGTCGGTTTACCTTATACAAAGTGGCCAGGACACGAGACCGTTGAGGACCAGCAGCAGCCAAAATAGTGCACGTTACAGCAGCAGTCAGAGCTTGCTCCAATGCATCCTCATCGATAGTTCTTCAATGGAGAAAAGTAAAAACAAGTACTAATGTCAGTTAATCACAAATTCACTCGTTGATTATAATTCAGAAGGTAAAATCACATACTCATCCCCTATCTGTCTCTTCTCAATTTGAGATATGTCATAGTAGCGTAATGCAGCCTCCAAAAACTTCCTCTTCAAATCCAAAATCCTTGCATAACAAACCTGAATATTCGTCAAATAAGTTAGCAGTTATTCACGGAGATAAAAACACATAAGCCGTTATGACATGCTGATATACTGCAGACCTTGTATTGCAAGTTCAACACTTCATGCTGGCTGTTGCTAACCAAAAATGAAGCTTTGTTAATGAATGCCTCGGCATTAACAGCATCATCATCCTACATGAACAAGCAGGAAAATAAGACCAACAGAAACTTCCGTAAGAGGTGAACAATTGACAACCAATAACTACATGAGAACTTGTGGCTTCTTGGTTGCTCTTCAACTTGACTACACCAAGAAATAAGTCTACATGACTAGTGCAATACCTCGAGATACAGGCTAGCAATTTGGACGCACTTTGACAATCTATAGCCATCGTCAATGACCCTGATGAAAGCAAACACAAGAGTCAAATTGAAAGCCTTTACGGAGAAAGCACCGAATGCACTCTCAAGTTCAATACAAACATTCCAACATGAATCTTACTCTCAGACCTCATTCCAGAGTCCAAATCAATTCCACTCAGCATTTGTGCCGCTAACGACCACTGCCGTTCTGACTCATAAAGCTCAGCAAGTTTCTCTCTAATAATCAACACCTGAATTCACCAGCAAACACCTTATTGGAATCCTTGAAATCCTTGGAGAAATACAAAGCTATGGCGCCAAACAAAATCCCAAACCAACCTGTTCTTCGAAGGAAACCACACGAGGCTGAATCTGAGTAAGAGTGTACTTAGCAATATCCTTCTGCGCCTCGGGCTGCAATCTCCCCAACTCCTGCGCAAAAGTCTGCAAGAGCTGCCTCGACACGACTAGCGGCACATCATCCGATAGCACTGGGGTGAAGAAGCCATTGCAGGCGAAATTAGGTTTACTCCAGAATCGCGATAAGAGAATCAAACACATAGAGAGAAAACGGAAATCATCGAGAAAGCGAGTCGTAAAGAGCTTACTGTGATCGATGAACTTCTTGGCGTGGATAATGTCGTTGGAGGAGATGACGGAGGAGAGAATGTGCTTGTACTGCTCGATCTTCTGCCTCTGGTCCGTGATCGCCGAGGCGTTTGCGAAGGCGCTCTCCATTGCTGTTGACGCGATTGTTCTCCCGTTCTAAAAAATCCTAAAACCCTAATTTCTTAATGCTCTATTTGAGAAAAAGAAGACGGAGCGTCTCCGTCTCTGAGAAAGTGGGAAGTAGTTTCAGAGAGTACGGCTATGGCGCCGGTGAGGTGACAAACTGACAATGGGGATATGTTATGGGCCTGGTGGTTTATATAGTGCACGGGGCTTTTTTCTGTACGGGTACCCGAGAATGGGCATTTACGCCAAGTAAGTCCTTCCAAGTAATAGACCAGAAAAATAACATAAAATTATCACATTTTTATATATAAAAAAGCTCACTTATATTAGCAAGAACACCAAGTTACATCGTTTCAACCTCCGACCAGAGCCAAGCTCTAAAATCGAAGCTCGTACAACTCGTTGGAAACAATAGCACAGCTTTTCTAGCCACCCTATGGGCTACCCTATTGTTCAGCCTACCAACAAAACAAATCCGAAAACCCGGCACAAGCAGCAGCAACTGGCGAATTTACTCTAGCAAGGCTCCTCCCACAGCATCACAAACCGCACCAGCATTAACTTTGTCAATAACGATCTTTGCATCCCCTTCAATCCGGACTGCAGTGAGACCCTTTTCTTGACACCATCTGATTGCATCTCGCAGCGCCACCGCCTCAACTAGCAATGGATTCCGAAGCCCATCATACCACCACCCCCGAGCCTCCACCACGGAATTCGTCAAGTCCTTCAACACCAACCCCATCGACGCATGTGATCCCGAGCAAACCGCCCCATCAAAAGAGCACACCACCCTCATCCGCCTCGACTACCCCAGCCATCTCCGTCGGCATTCCCATCTGAGGGACATTGCCCCTACCTACTAAAACCTGCAACCACTCCTGAATCTGAAACTAGAGTCTAAGCAAACTAGGTAAAGTCTGCTTGCCCTCAAAGGCCACCTCATTTCTAGCCTTCCAGATCCTCCAAAGCAGGCAAAAAAGACGCACGACCCTAGGATGAGAGGAGTCCAGCTCCAGAAATCTCCGAACAAAAATATTGAAACACGCAGTTGGCAAAGTTTGCAGCTCCATGGCCAATCCTGCCTCCTCCCATAGAGCTTTCACCACAGGACAATGCAAAAACAAGTGTTCCGTGCTCTCCTCCTTCGCCTAGCACACTGGGAATCAGAGCAAAACCGAGACCTTTTTGTCAGAAAGCACCTCCATCATCGGCAAAAGTCTCTGAAACGGTTCCCAGGCAAAAATACTTTAGCTTGGGTTGAATATTGAAGGCCCATACCTTAATCCAAAGGCTTCGATCCATGGAGCTACATTCCTGCTTCCACTTTCCCACAAAACGGGACTTTCGCTCAGCCAACCTATACCCGAATTTGACCGTATACACCCCAGATGGGTCTTCCCTCCAAACCAGCTTATCAGGGATAGCAATTCGTGGCAAAGGAATTTCAAGAATGGCTCTCACCGTCTCAGGTAGATAGATGGGATCCACCCTTCCGATAGATGGGATCCACCCTTCTGATCAATCAACGCGGCGAACAGTCCCAATTCCGCCCAAGTAGCCTCTGGCTGCACTACCGTATACCACAGGTAGATAGATGGGATCCACCCTTCCGATACAATTGGTATGAATGATCCCGACCCTATCTGAGCCGCCATGCTGTGCCTAAGCACCTGACATCCATAAAGAACACCTTGTCATCCCCACGAAGGTCGGGATCTGGCCGAACCGAGAAAATTGACCCATGGGGGAAGTACTTACCCTTATAGATCTGGGACAGGAGCGAATCCGGCTCCGTATGAACACCCCACGCAATATTCGCCAATAAATCCTGATAAAAGAGCTCAAAACATCGGAACCCCAGCCCACCTTCATGCTTACTCCTGCAAAGCCGCTTCCAGGACATCCACTGACTCCTCGGCCTTCCATTCACAAAACCCCACCAAAAGAAAGATAAATGTTTATCCAACCGACGACATGAGGTGGCAGGGATCTTAAAGCATGCCATAGCATGAACAGTAAGAGCCGCCGCCACTGTCTTAATCAGCGTTTCTTTGGCAGCCTTCGATAAGTGCTTTTGTTTCCATCCCTAGATTCTTTGCAAAAGCTTTTCTTCCAGGAATCGGAATGTCTATGCCTTTGATCGAGCCACCAAGGACGGGAGACCTAAGTACTTATCCTAGATACCCACCGCTCCAACCCCTAAAAGCCCCACCATTGCTTGCACTTCAGGCGCCAGGAGATTTGCACTGAAACAGACTGTTGATTTATCCAAGTTCACACGTTGCCCACTCAACTTTTCGTACTCATGAAGCCATTCTTGAGGTTTGCACACTCTTGCATCGATGCTTTAACGAACAAATATGAAACATCAGCAAAGAACATGTGTTAGACTCTGGGGGCCCTCGGGCTCACCCGCACCCCTTGCAATTTCCCATTCCCAATTGGCCGCCGCAATAGCGCTGCAAAGCCTTCCGTACATAGAACAAACAACAGAGGGGAGAGAGGGTCCCCCTGTCGCAGCCCTCGTGTAGCGGAGAAAAATCCGGTCGGTTTACCATTCATTAAGACAGAAAAAGAGGATGTGGAAATACATTCCTGTATCCAACTAATCCACAATGAGCTGAATCCCAACTTTCTTAAGACAACAGTAAGAATGGCCACTCAAATCTATTATAGGCCTTTTCCATATCAACCTTCAGAGCTAAGTATCCATTTTTACCTTTCTTCTTAATCTTTGAATAATGCATAATTTCAAGCCCGATAAGCACATTATCAATACTTTGCCGTTCATGAATAAACGCATTTTGCCCCGGTGACACAGTCTCCGGTAGAAAATTTGCCATTCGTTCCGCCGTAATCTTTGGTATGATCTTGTACACAAATTGGCACAAGCTAATCGGGCGCAGCTGCCTCATTGTCTCAACCTTCTCCACCTTTGGGTTGAGCGTAAGCCAAGTATGGTTGAAGCTTCTTAAAATACGCCCATTCATAAAAAAGTAAAGTACCGCATCCACCACCGAAGGCCCACTACATTCCAAAATGTCTTAAAAAACTTCCCCGTAAACCCATCCGATCCAGGCACCTGGGTGGACCCCATAGCGAAGACCGTTTGACGAATTTCCATCGGGGTCGCCTCGGCCACCAGAGTCTTATTCATCTCATCAGAAACTCTGTGCTCTATGGGTAAGACATTGTCTTTCTCCAAATGCCGTCTTCGTCAGTTTCCGACGTGAAATGAGAGTAAAAATCAACCGCCAATTCACCCTTAGCCTCTTCCTCCATAACCCACTCCCCATTCTCTTTTCGAAGTTGATCCACATGATTCCATCGTCGTCTCGCCCTTGTGACCGTATGGAAGTAGGAGGAGTTTTGGTCTCCTCCCTTTAGCCAACGCACTCGGGATTTCTGACGGCAGTATGTCTCTTCCTCCGCCCATTTAAGCGTTATTTCCTTCTCCAAGGTGTTAACCCGCTCCCAATTAATAGGGTATTCCTCCTTGATAGCAGCAATTTCTGTCTCCAAGATACGAATTTGCCTTTCCGAGTTAGATGTCCCAGCCCGACTCCATTGAAATAACTTATGACGAAGCTTTTTCAACCTTGTCCAAAGTTGGAACATCAGCGAGTCCTGAATTTGTAAATTCTAGATTTCCTCCACCATCGGCTCCGGATTCGTGGCCCATCACTCATCGAATCGGAAAAGGGCGCGTGCTGCTCAGGAATAAGGTTTGTCAGCAATAAGGAGGGATCTGGGATCCGAGCCGAGATCCGTCCCGTGGGTTACCAAAGTTTTTGGGAATTTTTCCATCCACCGATCCGAGGCGAAGGCCCTATCTAGCCTTTCCTGAATACATGCATTTCCCATCCGGCGGTTTGACCAAGTGAAAGGATTACCATGAAATCCTAGATTCTGAATTCCCAAATCCATCCACGAATGATCGGAAATTCTGGGATTGAACTGGATTCCATGGGTTTCCCCCCACTTTTTCACCTGATGAAATAATCCCGTTAAAATCACCCACCATCACATATGGTACCTGAATTCCCGTACAATAATTACGTATACAATCAAATTGCACCACTCTTTCGTTCGCACGACATCTCAAATAAACAAACACCACCACCAAATTTATTCCATTAACAACCAAACTCGCCGAAATAAAAACAACAACTAAACAACACTGAGGCACTGCTCTCAGGGGATCATGCCACTGCTAACCCTCATGCTGAGTCAACATCATCGACCAAATGAAAATCCGAAAAACCAAAACCCCGCAACCTGCGAGAAACAACTTTACGACTCGACCGAGTTTCTGACAAGAAAACTACATCAGGATTGTTGACACTAACTAATCCTAAGATAGACTGGAATGTGAGGGACAACCCAATCCCACGCACATTCCACGACAACAATCTCATTTGGCACCTTGGGGCCATTTTCGGTTGGCTTCCTCTTCCGTTGCACTCTGATTCTCCTCTTTCCTGTCCACTGGGTCTTCCAAACATAATTTCTTCACCGGTGTTGGATCATCAGCTAGGCTATACACCTGGTCAGCATCCCTTTTCCTACCTTCCATGTCTATCTTTTCCGGAGCCACCATCCTGAACACTTCTTTGAGCGAAGATTTCTCTCCCCTCTCTGAATCTGTCATCTGATCTCCACCTGCATTGACTGTTTGTTCTTTCCCCTGCTTCTTATTCTCCATAATCGTCATCTCAGCCTGCTGGACTACGCTGTTCTCCTTTTTCTTTCCCGCGAACCACACCATCTCTAGCATTTTCCTTTGGTCCAGCTCCACCCATGTTCTCGGAAGACTCCTTCATTTTGTGCTTGTTAGGGATGCGAATTGTCACCGCTTCCCTTTTCCCACTTGCTTTCTCCTGCAAAACAGCATCTGTCTTTCCTATCACTGGCCTTTTTCCCGTCATTTCGCATCTCCCTTTCTGTCCATTATGGGAAGAAGATTTCCCCAGATCAGCAGCCTTGGAGGGTTTCACCTTTCCTTGATCAGTGGCGCGGTCATTTCTCTTCTTGAACTTTCTTCCCCTCTTGTCCGTTCTTGCTTTTGCCCTGGTTCTCGCCCTTCTTTTCAGCACCATCACGACGAACTTCCCTTGACTGATCTGTTTTCTCACGCGATCCCTTCTCCGCCGCCAAAGCTAGAGTCACCATTTGCTTCTCCTGTTGTTGTCC